ATGCTGTGGACATGTTTCGGATTTAGGGTTTAGTCAAGCAGTTTCATGAATTATATGAATAGGTTTATCTAGCTGATGGAGATATATGACTCTATTTTGTAAATGCTATAACATGATTTATGGTTTATCTAGCTGCCAGTTAATATAATCATGTGTAAGCAGTTTGTGAATCTATGGACTATGATCACTTCATTTCAAGCTAATTTCAACTTCATTACTCATCAAACATCCCCCGAAGGTCTCACATATCCATTACATACGAAACATAGCTAGTACAAACAGAAGCACGACTGCAAAGACTACACACAAAAAATATATGGTCATCCTCTATTGTAGTGCCAAATAGCATACTTTATCTTCCACAATTCCAGACAAGTAGCTGCAATGAGTTCTGAAACTTTGGTCAAGTCTTCTAATATTAATGTCTTCCCATGTTTCCTTGTCCTCGCCTTCTCTTCTGCTCTACGAGCAAGCCCTTCTAGCGCCTCCATATCATCTAGTTTCAATTTTAGTTGATGGTTCTCTTCCATTAATCCATTTGTTTATATGACTTGAATCAGACTATCTGGCACTACGGCTAGATGGCACCGGAGTCCACAGTATTGAGCTCTAGAGGTGGGAATCGGTTTGGTTCGGTTCAAACAGAACTGAAAAGGAGTATTCTGGTACCCCCATAACACCAATTAGGCAAACCGATTCCGAACCAAAATATATCTCGGTTTGGTTCGATATACCCGACAAAATCAAAACTTCTCATTCTTTCTAACTTCCCTTTTTTCACAAAACCCAACCTTGGTCAGTTGATATCCCTTCCCAACTTCTCTCTTTGCTCTGCTCCTTCTCTATGTTTTTTCCTCTGCATATGTCTCAGAGGTAGAGGTCGCAGCACCACGGCGAAGAAATCGCAACAAGGGTCTCCCAGCAGGCAGCAAACCCATCCCACCTTCTTCTTCTTCTTCTTCTTCTTCTTCTTCTTCTTCTTCTATTGCTGCTGCTGTTTGGATTTGGATGCATGTGGGTTCTTAATGTTTGGAATTGGATTTCTCGTCTCGAGGAGCTCAACCGAGAACAAAGGGGGAAGGGATGATGGTGATTGACAACGGAAGGGGAAAGTCACAACTCACAGGCGCCGCCAGCAGCGGCCACCGCCGATGTAGCCGCGGTCGTGCAAAGTAGTAGTAGATCCAAATCCCTTCTTGAAAAATATGATTGTGTATTTGTTGTGTTTCTTTTTCCATTTGGATTTTTTCTAGACTTAGTAATATGAGATTTTGTTTTGGTTGACTTTTTTGGGTTGAATGGCAGGCAAGGCGAGGAGAAGAGAACAGAGAGAAGGGGAAATGAAATGGCATCGACGACGACGCATGATTTGAATGGAGTTGGCTGCTCTGCTGGCCGTTGGGGCCTGGGGAGAGTGGTGAGGCAGCTAGGGGTGGGATTAGGGTTAGGAGCAATGAAGTCGGATGGTGAATGAGGATTGATAGTGGGTGGACTGGGTTGGTGTTGCTAAAGGGTGGGCTAGTGATTGATAGAGAGTGGGTTAGGAGGAGGGTGTGCAGTTAGTTGGGCTTGGGGAAGAGGGCGGGCTTGTTTAGTCTGTAGGCTTATTTAATTTAATTCGATTAATCGGTTCGGTCGATCAAAATTCGGGTTCAGTGTGCAGACCCTGGGTTCCGAAATAGTGGGGTTTTTCTTTCGAATTCCAAACCAAAAAACAATATTTTCGATTTCGATTCGGTTTAGGTTTACCGAACCGGATGCCCACCCCTATTGAGCTCAATGTTATTTGGATTCATGTTCTGGCCTGGTCTGTAAATACTTTTCCTTTACCAGATTTGATTAGGGTTACACCATGGAGAAGTACTATAAATACTTGTCATACTCCTCTGTAATCTGTATCTCCTTCAAGTATGGCGAAATTGGCTTTTTCCTACCCGTAGACTAGCTAACACACATTGTGTTAGTGAACCACGTAAATTGTGTGTCGTGTGCCTTCTTGTGTTTCATTTTCTTGCTGTGGTGAATCCTCCTATTTTTCGATCCGCAGAGAAACAGAAACAGTTCTGACACCATCCACCACAGAGTCACTTTCATGTTTATCATCAACCCATAGGAAAATTTTGTTATTATCTCTAAAATTTTAGAGGAGATGATTTAGTCAATATCACCCACCAATGCTAATTTGCACGATATACATAGATTGGACCATATCAGCCAGAATGTACAAGAGTAGAACATTCTTCTATGATTTGTGCTTGTGTTATATGTATTCACCACACAAGGAGCTTTATGCCCTTTACATCGAATCGCAATTGTGTTTTTTGAACTGGAGTAGGCTGAGTCTTGGTTGGCGATTTTTCTGCTTTTCATCGACATGATTTTTCCGTCTCTGGGTATATTTGGATCTAGGAAGAGGCTCGCAACAGTCGGCCGCGCTACAAAGGAGAAGACGAGGAGGAAAGGGGAAGACGGTGATGCAAAGAAAGGAGAAGTCGAGGAGAAAAGGGGAGGACCGCGGTGGAGGTCAAAAAGAGAGGTGGGGGTCAATTAAAATTAAAGGGAGATAATATGAGAGAGAGAGAGATAATTTGTAAATTTTTTATTTTCTTTTAGTTTTCTTTTAACCGAAATGGGAGCTTATGTGGAATTTTATTATTTTAAAAGTGGGTTTCTGCTAATATGACAGTGACATGGTGGGTTGACTATTTGTGAACGATGTTCACCATCCAAATTAACGGTCAACACTCGTGTTAGGCCAAATTAGTCAATTACAATAATATTTCAAGCCATAATATTTCGTATAATAATGACTACAGTTGTAATTTCATGAAAAGTTCGGGCCAAACAAATATTAACTCTTAATACTTCACTCAACATTTACAGGTGTGCAATGTTTTTCATGATCACTAGACAAGCATGTATTATGCGATAACATTCATTAATTTTTAAAATATACATTTTTTTCGATATATGATGTAATTTATTGAACAATGTATCATGTATGGTGAGCTCAAAAAGTTTATTCTCTTGAATTCTTGGGAAAAATCGCAAAATACACATGTTTTTTAAAAAAATTCCAAAATACACACGTTATAAAAAATTTTCCCAAAATACACATGTTTGGGCATCACCGCTGTTGTCAACCGCAGTGAATTCATTCACCGCGGCAGACAAAAGCGGTGAATGCATCACCGCGGTTGACGACCACGGTGAATGCCTGACGTAACACTGAAACTTTAAACAAACGTAACTTTGCGCTCGGTTATCCGATTGTAGCGAATGTTTTTTTGATTCCACATAACTTTTCAAGATCTTTCAATCTGAAACAAGACTTCATTCGGAAAAAAAATCATGTGCTACCCCGAACGAGCAATTTTTTCGATTTTGACAAACTTTGGAAGATCATAACTATGTGCTCCACAATCCGAATGTCATGTAACTTTTTTTGATTTTGCATAACTTTTGAAGTACTACAACTTTGATTATAACCATAATTTTTGGAAGTATGTGGATTTGTGAAAAGTAAAGGCAAAGTTATTCTCAAAATCCCGTATACCCAAAAATACTTCTTTTTAAAAAATTATTTCCTAGTCAAAGTTGTATTTCTTAAAAAGTTATGCGCAATCAAAAAAAACTTTACGAAGTTCGGATTGAGGAGTTAAAAGTTATGTCCTTCCAAAGGTTGGCAAAATCAAAAAATTGCTCGTTCGGGGTAACAAACGACATATTTTTTAGATGAAGTCTTGTTGCATATTGAAAGATCTTGAAAAGTTATATGGAATCAAAAAAAAAATTTGCTACAATTGGATAACCGAGCGCAAAGTTACGTTTGTTTGAAGTTTCAGAGTTAAGTCGGGCATTCACCGCGGCCAACAACCGCGGTGATTCATTCACCGCTTTGGTCTGCCGCGGTGAATGCATTCACTGCGGTTGACAAAAGCGGTGATGCCCAAACATGTGTATTTTGGAAAAAAAATTATAACGTGTGTATTTTGGGATTTTTTTAAAAAACATGTGTATTTTTGGAATTCGTCCGAATTCTTGGGTATTGAACTAATGATTATTTATTGGTCAAACCTTTTTCGGATTCTTTTTTACTAGCCAAACCTATCGAAATACTAAGAATTAGCCACATGTTAACTTCCCGTCATGGTTCAAAAAGGCACGCTTAACCTTACGCTTAGGCACGCTAGGCGCAAGGCAATAGCAAAACGCCTCGCCTAGAGGTTTCACGCATAGTTAGATACTAGAACACGTCAATGGAGTACGGCAGCATCTAAGTCTCTCCTTAACCATTGCTGATGATTTTCTGAAAGTAGGTTCAAATGACTCAATGGCAATTGGTTTGGTAAATGTCGGCATCACATCGGGTCAAGAACTCCAGCAGCGGATATGCGACTGTCAATCTATTCCTGATGTGGTATATTATTATTTCATTCATCATGCAGTGTGAATATCTATTTTTCTTGCAAATCCTAGGCTCGCTTAGTCTACGCCTAGACACGCTTAGTCTACGCCTAGGCGAGCTAGACGCTAGGCAAAACCTCAACGCCGCCTTACGCCTAGTGCCTTCTTGACCTTGCTTCCAGTCAACAATTTTGTTAGTAATATTGACTTGGCAACATGATACTAACTTGGAAGAGACACATGAAGGTCAACATTCCAAAATTTAGGTATTTTAAATATAAAAAAGAGTAACAAAATTATTAACGATAATGTAAAAATGAATAATATTTTGACGCATTACAAAAGATTTGACTAATTAATAGCATTTTAATAAATTTGAATAATTTAAAAAAATCTAAAAAAATATTTGGATAAAAAATAAACATTACTCTAAATTCTTATAATTCTCAATGCAAAATCGATTATTCTAAATTTAAATTCTCTCCAAATCATCCTTAATTTTGAGCTGCAATTTTATTCTCCTGATCAATCATCTCCAACAGTGTTCTCCACCTTTTCACTCGTCCCTCCTCCCATTAGGCCATTACAAATTTACACAACCTCCACTCCCTCACTCTCTTCCTGGCAAAATCTCCCTTTGTCCTATCTCTGCCCTTTCCTTTTTCCCCCTTCCTTTACCTTCCATTTCTCCCATTGAGACCCTCTCCCTCAATAGTTAGACCCCTTTACTTCATTCCCTCAACCAAACCCAAAAAAACCCACTAAAAAAAGGAAACAGTGAGAAAGAAACAACTCCTCTGCTTTTCCCCTGCTCTGCTCTGCTCAATCAATCCTTTCCACAACAACTCCAACCATTGCAGAGCAGCTCACCATCTCTGATCCCAAACTATGAATACCCATTTCCCCCAAGTCCCAGCATCCTTCCCCAGCTAAGGCAAAAGATACCATGACGAGCTCGATCGCCATTAATCTCCCTTTCTTCACTTTCTCTCTCCTCCTTGCTCTGTTGTGCTCTGTTTCTTCCGCTCTAAACAGGGACGGTGTTCTCTTGCTCTCATTCAAATACTCCATTATCGACGACCCTTTATCCGTCCTCCAGACATGGAACTACGACGACGCGACTCCCTGTGCCTGGACCGGAGTCACCTGCACCGACCTCCGAGTCACCGATTTGGTCCTTCCCAAGAGCCAGCTTCTGGGCTCGATTTCTCCCGACTTGGGCCTAATCGAGCGCCTCCGCCACGTTGATCTCTCCAACAACTTCTTGAACGGCTCGCTGCCTGATTCCTTCTTCGGCTCGAACGAGCTGCAAGTGATTTCCCTCTCCGGGAACGAGATCTCCGGCGGACTGCCGGAATCAATCGGCGGGATGAAGGGTTTGCAGGTGCTGAATCTCTCTGACAATGCGTTGGCGGGTAATGTGCCGAGGAATTTGAGTGGTCTTCAGAATCTGACCGTTCTCTCACTGAAAGCTAATTACTTCAGTGGATTTGTCCCGAGTGGGTTTGGTTCCGTCGAACTGCTCGACTTCTCTTCCAATTTGTTGAACGGGTCTCTGCCGTTGGAATTCGGAGGGGAGAAGTTGCGGTACTTGAACCTATCTTACAACAAGCTCACCGGATCAATCCCGCCGGAGTTCGGAAAGATGATTCCGGAGAATGCTACCCTCGACCTCTCGTTCAACAACCTCACCGGAGAGATACCGGAGGCTGTTTCGCTGTCGAATCAGAAAATAGAGCATTTTAAAGGGAATGTGGATCTCTGCGGGAAGCCGCTCAAGAACCTCTGCTCGATTCCTTCAACTCTCTCGTCGCCGCCCAACGTTTCGACGACATCTCCAGCTATCGCCGTGATCCCCAAGCCGTTAGAGTCCTCGCCGGATTCAAACTCATCCGGCGACCCGAACCCGACCAAAACCCAAGCCCAAACTCAGAACAACGGGCTAAAACCAGGCACAATCGTCGCCATCGCCACCGCTGATTTAGCCGGAATAGGGGCCCTAGCACTCATCATCCTCTACGTCTACAAAATCAAAAAGAAGAAGGCTGCCACAGCCGCCGCCGCTGCCGCTTCGACTGAATCCGGCGAAGGAAAGCCCCCTAGCAAACAGAGCAAAAATATACAAATCCCATCGGAATCCATCATCATCAGCACATCGCTCGACGAAGAACCCAAAAGACGGTGGGCGTCGTGCCTGAAGGGCAACATCGGAGGAGGTGAAACATCGGAATCGGCGAATTCGTCTTCCGACAGCGATCGGGAAGACCGGAGCAGTCCACAGAGACTAGGAGGAGCCGCCGGGAGCAATAGCGGCGTCGGAGGGGGAAAGCTGGTGATGGTGGACGGGGAGACGGAGATGGAGATGGAGACGCTGCTGAAGGCGTCTGCGTACGTTCTGGGCTCGAGCGGCGGAGGGAGCATCGTGTACAAGGCGGTGCTCGCAGACGGCACGGCGTTCGCCGTGAGAAGGATCGGGGAGATTAGCGGCGGAGCGGCGGGGAAGGGGATGAAGGAATTCGAAGGGCAAGTGAGGGCGATCGCCAAGCTTCGGCATCCGAATTTGGTGAAAGTTAAAGGGTTCTGCTGGGGAGATGATGAGAAGCTCTTCATCTCTGATTACGTCTCCAATGGCAGCCTCGCCACTTGTGGTTACAGTAAGTTCCCCTTCCTTCTTCTTCCTTGCTCTGTTTCCTGCCTTGTGTGGCGGCGCGTGTTAGTTAGACTCTGGGGATTTTGCTAAATTGCGCGGATTATTACGTGCATGTTAGCGTAAGAAATATTAGGACTTTGGATAGCATTCTTTGGTAAATACTGACTTTGGTCACTGAACTTATCTATATGAATTATATTGGACACTTAGCTTGGTACTGATCTAAGTACTAATAAAGCATCACACTAGTTCTAATAAGTCATATTTGTTACCATTTTTATGACTATATTGCTGGTTCAGTAATTCATATAGACGAAGGAAACAAAAATGTTGACAGTGAATTATCTGGACAAGTTTGGTGTTTCAATTGTGTGAATCCATATTTTGGTTAACTTCTCGTTTTTTATATAAGAGTGAACGGGTGGAGAATCAAATTCTAAACTATCTTGATGGAGGCATGGCTACTTAACAAGTAGAGAGTAGATCATACCGGCTATTCCAAATTCATTCTCGAAACTATGTTTCATTATATTTACTTTAGAGAAAATTGTATTTCGAAATGATAGCTATAAATCTAGGATAGGTTATGAACAATATAAAAACTGTTTTTCTTCATATTATTTATTTATTTCTTAATGAGTTTAAGGTTCTAAATATTTTTAAGAGTTTGGAGGTGTGAGTGTGTACAGTGAGTCAATAACATGTCTAGAAAAAAATAAAAACATTCACGAGCCAACTTGCAGTCTGAGTCTAGCTTGTAGAATAATAATTATTTATGACAAATGTAATTGGAATTATATGTCTCGTAAAGCATAGTTTAGACTTTAGAGCTCACCGTGAACTGTATAACTGGAATAAAGGTTGGTAGCCTGGATCAGCTGCAGGAATAATTCATTTGCAAACTTAATTAAATAAGAATAATTAACAGCAGAGATCAAGGATTTAATTATAATCTCATTTACACATATATTGAATTAATCCCTACCTTAATTCTTAAGTAAAGTCTAATCAAATGGGTACTATGCACATTGGAATCCTGAAACCAAAGAGGCTTTGGAGGTTTGTCATAAAAAGGCCCTTAATAAACTATGATGACCAGACCAATCATATCATTATTTGTATAAAGCAAAATACGACTGGAGATTCCTTTGTCCATGGAGAAGGGGTAATTATAAAAAGTTGCATTGCATGCACCAAAAGTGAAATAAACCCATAATGCGCCAAATTATCATGTCGTTTTGCGTAGAAAAGCAGCTACTTAGTCTGTGCCTTCACATGTGTTAAGCCTTAGCTCACTGGTTGTTTTGCAGGGAGGGTAGGAGCATCGCCATGTCATCTACCACTAGAAGTCCGGCTGAAGATAGCAAGAGGGTTAGCCCGAGGGTTAGCCTTCCTCCACGAGAAGAAACAAGTCCATGCCAACATCAAGCCTAGCAACATCTTGTTAAGCCAAGACATGGAGCCCATCATCTCCGACTTGGGCCTGGACCGGCTCATATACGGCACCAGCAAGGCCGGCAACGGCTCCTCGAGCCGACACTTCGGTAGCAGCCAGAGGTCGATGGTCGGTACGACGACGTCACTGGACAACCACATGATGGCTGGTACCGGTAGTAATGTTAATGTCGCCAACAATAATGGTATGATGATGGCTGCCAGTCCCTACGCCACGCCCAACTCTTCAGTCGTTGCGGGTCCCTCACCGTACCAGGCGCCCGAGTCCCTGAAGAACTTAAAACCAAACTCCAAATGGGATGTCTACTCGTTCGGGGTCGTGTTGCTGGAGCTCCTGACGGGGAGGGTGTTCACCGAGCGGGAGCTGAGCCAGTGGGCGGCCACCACGTGTTCTGAGGATCGGAGCTGGGTGTCCAGACTGGCTGACGTGTCGGTCCGGGGCGAGGTGGAGGCGAGGGAGGAGGGCGCCATGGTGGCATGTTTCAAGTTAGGGTTTAGTTGTGCTTGCCTTGTGCCACAAAAGAGACCGTCCATGAAGGAAGCGGTGCAAGTGTTGGACAAGATCCCTTCCCATGCCCACTACTACGCCCCTCACTTTGTTGTTCAAAGCTAATTGATGATGAGTTCTGATTTTGGTACGTGGGACCCATTTGAAAGGAAATGAAGAAAATAATGTGTCACAATGCAATGTTGTTTATCTTAAAGGGTTGTTTGGCTGTACCCTTTCTCTTTTTCTAATGCTTTGTTGACCTTTTGGAGATGTTGGGACAAAGGTAGAAGGGAGGTATATTTGGGGTATCTAATGTGTTGAAAGTGACCATGTTCTTGTTAATTTGACCATATGATTAATCAAATCTTCTTTGTTACAAAAGATGCTCGTGCTAACATTTTGCTTTTATGGATCTTTTTACTTTCTTTTAGATGAGTTGGAGCCATTACTAGTTGCTTTATTTGTTTTGGGAAGTTTTTGGTTCATACCACTCTTAAAACATGTTTGATTAAGTTATCATACAACTTCTCTAGCATAATGAAGCATGAGTTGGATCACAAACTTTTACATTTTGAGCTTTCCTTTAAGTAGAAGTATTTTATCAAATTCATTTTATTTTGGGTTTTTTAACTCATCGTTAACTACATGTATTATTCTTATTTCTGTTGTTTCTGACTACAGTCAATCATAAGGAAGAGAGATCCGAGAAATGGTGGAACTTGGTTTGTGTTTTTGTTAAGGTGCTAGCTCAATACAGTTCAAATTAACGTATGATCACCACTAGCTACTTATAAACTCATTGTCCGTAAAATATGTTGCAAGCAAATATACGTATAAGTATGATGGACCAACACAAATAATAGGAAATCAGTAGTTTGAACTTGACTCGCTGTTAGAGTCCAAGTGTTTGGCGAGATGGGGTTTAGCCTTATCGAATCGTCTTCAACCTTCAAGAAATTGTACATGTAGGGCATCACGCACACAATAGAGAAGAGTACGAAGAAGACATACGTACACATGATGTTTTGTTAACCGAGTTTGGCCCTATATTGCTTTACGTCTCAACTCAAATGTGGCTTACCCTTTGAGACTTAGTGTCTAGCTTTTTGTCTTATTCCAATCTAATTAAAAGTTGAGCTCCTTTGGGTGAAACTAAGACCATTCACAAGTATAGAGCAATATACATATTTCTCTCTTCCTCACAAGCACTCACGCTAAAGACAAGAATAGATAATGAATTTCGATCACCTCTTAATTCTATTGCTAATCACATAGTGTTTGATCTTGCTTTGTATAGGATTGCTCTGTCACATTTCGTAAGACTTGTTTTGTTGATTTTTTTTTTGTATTTATAGTTGCTTAATGCACCGGTTCTCTTGATCTTTCACTTGATTGCGAAGATTTCTTAATGCAACGGTCTTCACGGGATCTTTCACTTGATTGCGAAGATTTCTTAATGCAACGTTCTTCTCTTGATCTTCAGTTGATTGTGCCGATTCTTTCCTGCTGCAATCATATATTCTTAGACTTATGGCAGGTAATAATATAATTATACCATATCAGAAAAGGTGAGTTTTTTTTTCCACCCACATATTCCTCACATTGAGATAGATCAAACGTTTGACTCATGAAATTGCACTGATCAATTTTAAGCTGGAGGACCCTTTCAATGGTACATTTAGGTGTATGTAAACCTCTTTGATTATCAAACTTTAGACCAGTTAGAAAAAAAAAGCTCTCTGAATGGAACCTCTGTGTCTCTCGCCGGCGGACAACGATGGTGATTGAACAGAGCCCGCCGACGACGACAGTTACTCAACAGCCTAGCTCACAGCCCCTGTCCGACGCGAATGCCGTGACGGGACCTAGTGCGGTGGCTGCGCAAAAAATGATCTCCTGGACTCCGGTTGGCGAGCATGATCTTATAACATGGAGTTTTAATGGGGAGCCGGAGCTGAAGATCTCAACGGGTTTTAAAGAGAAACTGTGTGTCCCATGGCAAAGGACTCTGGTTGTTCGAGTGTTGGGTCTGAATATTTCTTTCCTAACGTTCAGCAATAAGGTCAAGTACCTATGGCGGCCGTCAGGAGCCATAGAGATCCTCGCCCTCGGTCAGGAATGCTTCTTGATTAAATTTAACAATGATACTGATTACTTCAGGGTCTTAACAGAAGGACCATGGGTTATCTTTGATCATTACCTGATCGTTTTCCAGTGGACACCCGACTTTCGTCTCACGGATGCTTTGCCGAGATCCATGGTCGTATGGATTCAGTTCCCGGGCCTCCCAGTGCACTTTTATCATAAGGAAATTCTTTTCGCATTGGGGAACATGGTGGGCAGGGCTATCAAGCTTGACTTTCATACGCAGCATCAACAACGAGCTAAGTTCGCTAGGATGGCGGTGGAACTCGATTTCTCCAAACCGCTGGTCACAAGAATTCGGCTGGACGGGAAGTGGCAATACATTGAGTACGAGAACCTGCCGGCGTGCTGTTTTGAGTGCGGTAAGATTGGGCACACGACGCTGACCTGCCCGACTCTGGTTGCCAAGATTCAGCCGCCGACTGGTGAAGTGAGGTCTGGTTCACCGGAAGCCTGGCCGGAGACGGTGTCGGAGGAGAAACAAGGATTTGGTCTATGGATGCAGGTTTCACGGAAATCTCGGCGAGGGAATCGGAATGGAGAAAAAGGAAACCTGAACGCTAGTCATGGGGATTCATCCGGGATTGGGAAAAATGGAAAAGGAAAGAGCTCTCTACAAGAAATAGAAAGCCACAACGGGCTTAAGGGGGGACAAAAGGAAGGTATTGATCAGCGAGGAGAGGCGGCGCGGGTGGGAATGAACGAGGAAGGAAAGTCGATTGGCGCTGGGAACAGAAAAGGTAAAGAGAAATTGGGGAATGCGATGGCGGATCTAGCCATGGGGGGGAAAGGAGTCCTTAGTCCAATTCCATCTTCAAAGGCCGGCCCATCTTCAGGGCCCATGAATAATCGGAGCAAGGGAACTGGGGCAGTCTCTCCTGCTGCTGGGCCTAAAATGGGTTGGAGGCCCGTCAGCAACTAAGAACTCCAGCCAACCGAAGCTACCCCAACCACCACCCATCCAGAAGGTTTCTGGCCCAAACTCAACGTCAATCCAAGTCGTGGCCGTCCCGTCCCTCGACCAGCAGAAGGAGTTGAATTCCCAAAGTGATTCCCTGTCGGCGTCGTCCCGTATGAGAAAGCAGAGCGCCGCGAAGAAGAAGAAGGGGAAATCTCCTCGCAAGACACCGACGAAAGTTGCAGCCAAGGCTTTGCAAATATGGACCCCGGTCAAAGAAAAGAAGGGCAAATCCAGATCAAGGCTCGCGACGCTGACGCTCCAGGAGATTGCGGCTTGGACGAGTGCGGCAAAATCTGGTCAAACAGAAGAGAGTGGTGGTCTCCCTGTGGAGGTCGCTAATGTGATTGAAACATGTGGCCCTTCGGACCCGGAGCAGCAACCGCACCTTTAATCGCGGACTTTCGCAGCTGCCCTTTCTCCTTTTCTCCTCGTTCTTTTTACTTCTTCATTTTAATGTCGGTTGCTAATAAGTTTAATCTTAATATTCTTTCGTGGAATGTTGGAGGCGCTGGGAGCAGCGCCTTCATCAGATCTCTAAAGCTCATTGTTTTGAATTACAAGCCTGACATTTTGATTTTGTTGGAACCGCTGATTAGTGGTGAGGTGGCGGATAGATTATGCGGGAGAATGGGCTTTCCCAATATCATGCGCGTGGAGGCCGAGGGGAGGAAGGGAGGCATTTGGCTCTGCTGGGATGCTCGAGCTTTCTCGATTGATCTGGTCTCAGCTTGCTTCCAATAGTTGACCGTGAGACTGACCGCGCAGTATGCGCCACCCTTTCTTCTTACGGCAGTGTATGCTATCCCCAAGCAAGAGTTGCAGCGTTACTTGTGGCAGGCTCTCGGCCAGGTGAAGGAAGATTGTGATTGTCAGTGGCTCCTCACCGGTGACTTTAATGCTATCCTCTCCCCCTCGGAGCAAGTGGGTAGGGTAACTAGTTCTGTGTTCCGGCGATGCAAGCGCTTCAACGACAGGGTTGAGCAAACCGAGCTCATTGATCTGGGATATTCAGGTCCACGATTCACGTGGACCAGAGGAGAGCCGCCCAATGAGTATAAAGCCAGCCGGTTGGATAGAAGTTTCTGCAATGCTGCGTGGAACGCCACCTTTCCTAACACTTCTGTCCGCCATCTTCCAAGGCTTCATTCGGACCACCATCCGATTTTAACCTCTATTGGAAACCAGGGAGGCCACTCATCTTATTCCCGCCCTTTTCGGTTTGAAGGAGCCTGGCTAACGCATGATTCTTATGCAGGTTTCCTATCAAGCAATTGGAATGGGCAAGCTCCGCTCCAGGACGCCTTGAAGAGCTTGACCGAGGATCTTACTGAGTGGAATAGATCCACGTTTGGGAATGTTCTGCGAAAAAAGAAGAGGCTGCTCAGCCGCATTCATGGCATTCAAACGAGAATTGCCAATGCTTCCTCTCCGGGACTTTTTAAACTTCAAGCTAAGCTGGAGAAGGAGCTAGATCAAGTGCTGGAGCAAGAGGAAATCTTATGGTTTCAAAGGGCTAGAGAAAAGTGGCTTTAGTTTGGCGAGCGAAACACGACCTACTTCCACCAGCAAGCGGTCATTCGGAGACGGAGAAATAAGATTGGAAGCCTGAAGGATAGCAACGGGGAGTGGATTTCTGATCCTCAGAAACTGGCTGCTTTGGTTTTTGACTTTTTTTCTCTTCTCTATTTACAGGATGAACATGACTATAGGGATGCTATGCCTACTCATGCTTTCCCGAGGCTGTCGCAAGAGGATCTCCTTCTTCTTTTGCGTCCCTTTGCGGAAACGGACATCTACAGAGCAGTGCATGATATGAAACCCTTTCAAGCTCCAGGTCCTGACGGCTTCCAAGCCATCTTCTATCAAAACTCTTGGCAGGTGGTCGGGAAAGCCCTTTGTGAGATGGCTCTTAATTTCTTCTCCACTGGGACCCTGCCAGAGGAAGTGGTGGAATCGACCGTGGTCCTCATTCCTAAGGTGGATCATCCGGAGATGGTGTCCCAGTTACGTCCGATCTCGCTAAACAATGTGTGTCTGAAGGTTATCACCAAAGAAATCACTAACCGGCTCAAGCCCATCATGAGGAAACTGGTGTCTCCGAGACAGAGTAGCTTTATCCCAGGGCGGCAAACCACGGATAATATTATTGTTTTGTAGGAGTTTCTCCATTCTCTCAGGAAAAAGAAGGGCAAGAGAGGGGGGCTTGTGATAAAGATCGATCTTGAGAAGGCCTATGATCGCTTGAGATGGGACTTCCTTCGAGATACTCTCAAGGAAGTTGGGCTTCCTAGCACTTGGATCAACTGCATTATGTTCTGCGTAGAACATAACAGAATGAGGATGCTGTGGAATGGTGATCTATCTGCCCCGATCACGCCTACCAGAGGTGTTCGCCAGGGAGATCCTCTTTCACCCTATCTTTTTGTTCTATGCATGGAACGTTTGTCGCACAGGATTGATAAGGCTATTGAGGACAAACTTTGGAAACCCCTGAGGCTGTCCAAAGAGGCCCCTACGATATCTCACCTGTTTTTTGCAGATGATCTTATCCTTTTTGCAGAAGCAGGAGGGTCCCAGGTTCGGATCATCAAACAATGCCTGTACGAGTTCTGCCACAGCTCGGGGCAGAGAGTGAACTATAACAAATCCGCTATGTTTGTATCAGCCAATATAGACAGAAGGCAAGCCCGACGCTTGTCTCACAGAGCAGATATTCCTCTCACAGTGGATCTGGGCCGTTACCTGGGTGTCATGGCAATTCATGGGAGGGTGACTAAAGCTCGGTATCGAGATATGGTGCTGCGAATCCAAAGGAAGCTTGCCCCTTGGAAATCCAGACATCTCTCACTAGCAGCTCGTATCACGGTGGTGAAATCCATTACCTCTTCTATTCCCATTTATCCCATGCACACGGAACTTCTTCCTGTCAATATTTTCAGGACTCTGGATCGGATTAACTGGGGGTTCATCTGGGGAGACACGGACAGCCAGAAGAAACTCCATCTGGTCGGGTGGCCTCAGTTGTTATTACCCAAAAACAATGGAGGACTTGGCATTCGGTCGACAAGAGAAGTGAACATCTCCATGCTGGCCAAGAGCGGATGGCGCTTACTCCAGGAGAAAGATAGCTTGTGGGTGCAGATGGTCAGAGCGAAATATGGAGGAAACAGGCAACATCTGGATATGCTTAAACCTATTCAGGGAATTTCCTTTACCTGGGCCAGCTTTACTAAAGCAGCCAACCTACTTAGGCAGGGATGTGCCTGGAATGTTCATTCAGGAAGACAAACTAAGTTTTGGTCTGATCCTTGGATTTCGCAGGGACCGCTCTACGAGGCGGCATTCGGGCCGGTCACGGAGGAAGATCGGCAGCTCACGGTCGCTAATTTTGTGGACGAAGAGGGGAATTGGCCGACTGAGAAGTTCGAGTCATTACTCTCTCCTGAGATCACACAGAAGATCATGGCTCAGGCTGTGGACCCTTTGGCGATGGAGACGGATAAGATTTTTTGGAAACCAACAGCAGATGGTCGTTTCTCAACCAAGAGCGCCTATGTGTTGCAGCAAGGAGCTCCGGACTCCGAAGGTCAACAGTGGTGGAAGGCGATTTGGCACCTCCCGGTTACGGAACGTGTTAGATGTTTCATGTGGCTGGTTAAGCAGGGAATGGTGACCACGAACGAGATGCGGGTGAAAAGGCACCTAAGTGATGATGGTTCCTGCTACAGGTGCGCCAACCAGGAGGAGAGCTTAGAGCACATCTTCCGTAACTGTCCCCCGTCAGCGTTTTTGTGGCATCGCACAGTCCCAGGAGGAGCACAACAGGAGTTTTTTAGTCTTTCTTGGGATGCTTGGCTGCATCGGAATCTCGCCTTCAAGGAGGCTACTATGGACGGAGTACCCTGGAATGCCTTCTTTAGCATTGCTCTCTGGTTCTTGTGGAAAAACAGAAATGAAGTTGTCTTCAAAGGGGAGAACAAGACGCTAATGGCCTCCTCTCTGACGCAATCCATCAAGATCAAAGCTGTCGTGTGGACTCAGGCCTGGAATGCCCCCTCCCCTCTGGTGGGAAGATTGAAACCGGCCCAGGATCGAGCTCTGACAGAGGTCGGTTGGAAGGCTCCCCCGGCGGGGTGGGCTAAAATTAACGTGGATGGAGCAGCCAAGGGAGAACAAGGCCTAGCAGGGGCAGGTGGTGTTATTCGCGATGACAGTAGCAGTTGGGTTAGAGGTTTCGTGTCGAGACTGGGGTCGTGCTCGGCTGCTTTGGCAGAACTGTGGGCGATTTACCATGGTCTGAAGCTGGGGTGGAATCTTGGATACAGAGCCCTCATCATCGAAACAGATTCGCAGCTAGCCATCCAGTTGGTGAAGAACAGAAAGGACCCCTTGCACCCGTATGCAGCTTTGCTCACAGCGATCCGGAGAAAGATCTCTCAAGACTGGGTGGTGAATCTGGTACATGTATACAGGGAAGGGAATAGGGTCGCGGACTGGCTCTCGAAGCACAGTCTCGTCTATCCCTTCGGTATGCATGAACTGGATTCTCCACCACAAGATCTTCTCCCTCTCCTTCAGGATGACCAACGGGGTATTACAATTCTGAGGAACATTGTAGTGAATTCTCCAGCCCCTCCCTGTAACCCTTCTGTATCTGCTTGTCCCCTCTTTTCTTCCTTCTTCGGCCGTGGGCCTCCTCAAATGCAAAAGAAAAGGTGTATGTAAACCTCTTAAATCCTATAACTTTATTTGGAATAAACTCTTCCTTAAATGGAGCGAAAGACAATTTATCCTCATGTTCTTTGTCAATTACCAATGGAATTGCAAAAAACAATGTTGTCATAACCGAACCGGAGCATGACCCAGTAATGCGAACGGCTCGCACTTTAGTGGTCCAACCGGCATTAGACCGTTCAAAAACCGTTAGAGAACCGGTACCTAATAAACGTTATCAATTTAAATAGTGGACATTTATTAATCCGAGCTCATCTCTTTCCTTCGAAATTGTGAAATGTAAATAAGGATTTAGTTTGAGAGCTCGACGTTTTTGGTTTATTTCAATTTTCAAATTTCTGCAATTTTTTTAATTAAATTTAGTGGCTGAATAACAAAAACCGGACGAGCGGCTCAATCGGCTCTAACGGTTAACCGTCTCGGCCGCTCGCCAACCGCTACATAAAACCGGAGCGGCTTTTAGACTTTTTCGAGCCGATTTTGTGATCGGGTTTGGTTTTACCGGTCGGGCCGAGCGGCTCGGCTTTAATAACACTGCGAAAAAGGTGGAACTTATTGTTTTTCGTATTGTAGCATAAACAAAAGGAATACTAATCAAACAGCTTTCAGTGTCAGCAGAACTAGAAAATGATGTTGATGAGGTAGCTAGCTAGCTCTCTTACACTGTTTAGGCATAGCTAAGATGTTGGTTCTCCGAACACAATCATTAAATGGGCTAAGATGGTATTGGATTGCAGGCAGGGCATCGAATAATTTTTCTGGTTAGTTGCATTATATTGCATGATGGGCTGATTGATTCTTTGTGGAAGCGTTGAAGTGATCGATGATCAATTCCCAACAAACAAAAGTTGGTACGAAGAATGAATGACATATCAAACCAGTACTGGAAACGAATGAATGGAATGATTAATATTGCAAGTGAATGAGACCATATGATGATTTGAAAGCTATCCCACTGATGAAATTGACAGCAACAGCAGCAGCAGCAAATGGTCTTCGCCCTAGTGATGTCAAATTGAACCCCAAAATTGGGCCATGCATGGCCTGGCTGCCAGTTTTGTCACCCTCCTACTTTCAATGTGTGAACCTAAAAAAACAATAGAAAAAGGTACTTTGGGTAAAGCAATTGAATGAATGATGAAAGCTCTCACCGGCCGCACATTCCCACTTGTGTTTTCTGTACTCCTTTGAGTTGTAGCTAGGGATGGCAATCAAACCCATGTTCACGGGTATCCGACCGCCCCCGACCCAGTCAACGCGGGGAATCCTCGTATTGACTAGGTATGGGTAAAACCCGCAAAAAGTTTGATGGGTATGGGGCGGGTATGGTTTTAGCCTCCCCCGCCCCATACCCATACCCGCCCCATCAAAAATATTTCTTCACATATGAAAAAAATATGTGAATCAATTTGTAACCTATCCATAATAGTGAGTATAACTAAAAAAAAATATATAGTAGAAATGCAATAGAGTGGCCACCCAAATCAAAATCTAATTCATTTCTCTCAATTTTACCTTCACTCTTGCACTTTTTCCCCTTATTAACAAGATTATGTTAGTTAATTATTACTTAATAGATGTATCACAGTAGAGAATAATGATTTGAATGACATTGTACTCTACTCTGATATCGATTAATGCATGCTTTAGGATAAGATGCTTTGAATCGTATTAAAAATGATTGTCTCTTGTCGACTTCATGATATAATAGGTGCGTTTAATGTTATAATTGAAAGTCTACATGTAAAATATTATGTATTATAATGTTGGATGTACGGGGCGGGTATTACCCATGAGTACCCGAAACCCATGGGTATGGGGATAGGTTTGCAAAACCTTCCCCCACATGTGTATGGGGCGGGTATGGGTATAGATATTTGAAAGCGGGGATGGGGATGGTTTAGACAAACCCGCCCCATTGTCATCCCTAGTTGTAGCAATTTGGGAAAACAAAAAAAAATTACGAACTGAAATTGATGACACACAAACTAATAGAAGAATCTAGAGCAAGGTTGTCAACCTGCGGGTCGATACACTTTGACCCTGACCCGGTGAGAAAAATGGGCCACACGCACCCGCCGGGCAGACCGCTACAAGGTAACGGTTGGAGATTAAATTATGTCATTTTTTTTTTGGTTTGCGAAATGCGCCTATTTTCCGTTTTTTCTTTTCGCCTAACTCAATCTTTGGAATTCTAAGCTGAACATTTGAATATTTATGTTATATAAGTGTGTGTGAATTTTCACTATATGTTGGATGTAAGTACGATATGTTATTTTGGTGTAATATTATAACTCATATGTTAAATAAAATTTTATATAATTTATGAGGATAAGTATAATATAATGACTTTTTCTATATTTGCGGGTCAAATCAGGCTAAAATGGTTGACCCATTAACTCTTGACTTACTAACTCGACTGGGTCCAGGTCAACCCGCAGGTTGACAACCTTGATCTAGAGTAATGTCTACTTTTTATTAATTTTTTTAGATTCTTTATATTATCCAACCCTAATAAATATTTTTAATTAGTCAGATCTTTCGTAATGCATCAAAATATTAGCCACTTTTACTTTATCGTTAATAATTATGTAACTCTTCTTCTAGTTAAAATACTAAAATTTTGAAATGTTGACCTTCATGTGTTTCTTTCAAGTCGGTATCATGTTGCCAAGTCAATATTACTAACAAAATTGCTATATGAAAATTAACTTGTGACTAATTCTTAGTATTTCGATAGATTTGGCTAGTAAAAGGCACTTTGGGTAAAGCAATTGAATGAATGATGAAAGCTCTCACGGGCCACACATTCCCCCACTTGTGTTTTCTGTACTCCTTTGAGTTGGGTGGGGGGGGGGGGGGGGGAATTACGAACTAAAATTGATGACAAACAAACTAATAGAAGAATGTAGGTAATGTCTACTTTTTATTATTTTTTTAATTATTTTATACTATCCAAACCTATTCAAATGTTTTTAATTAGTCAGATCTTTCGTAATGTATCAAAATATTAGCCACTTTTACTTTATTGTTAATAATTATGTAACTCTTCTCTTAGTTAAAATACTAAACTTTTGGAATGTTGACCTTCATGTGTTTTTTCAAAGTCGGTATCATGTTACCAAGTCAATATTACTAGCAAAATTGCTGTATGAAAGTTAACATTTGACTAATTCTTAGTATTTCAATAGGTTTAGCTAGTAAAAAAGAATTCCAAAAAGGTTTGGATAAAAAATAGACATTACCGTATAATGAATAGATCACCAATGCTATCATGGAGAGTTCGAAGACACCTCGATCATCTAATATTTCAATGCCTATACTAATGTCAACCTATCTCGCAACCAATAACTCATGTCCCCTATAAAATCTTGAAGAACGAAACATATTGGTCCGATCAACATTAAACTTCTCCCAATCCAGTCTTGGCTTTCAGCAAACAACTTCTTGAGCTGAATGGTGAATGCGGTTAGGACACACACTATAAATGTGAATCTCGAGAGGGAGTTTATTAGTGATAGAGTATTTTGTATTGAAATCATGGTTTAACCATAAAATAAATAGTCTGCCAACTTGGGTTCTGGTATGAATTTTTTCTGATAAAATATGGTACGGTTTTGCAGACACGTCCTCCATCACATGGACCTTATAAGGCCTGGAATCTTTCGAGAAGAAGATAAACTCGGGCTTGACCCACATAATGTATAAGGCCCACCAGATACGAGAAAAGAAGCCATCGGACCTATCCGGTCCATATGCAATTAGACCAACCGACACTAGCCACTCCACTCCCAGTCAAGAGTCAACTAGTGCGGAGCATTTCTCACTATCCCACAATTCTTCATCCTCTGGAATCAAGAATTCACCGCAAACGAAGAAGATCGAGGATGTCGGAACAGCACACACCATCGCAGATCTTCATCTTATCAGGGCAGAGCAACATGGCCGGCCGTGGTGGCGTAATCACCGACCCCCACAACCACCACAAGAAGCTCTGGGACGGGATCCTGCCTCCGGAATGCGAATCTCGCCCCGAAATCCTCCGCCTCTCCGCCGATCTGCGGTGGGAGAAAGCGGCGGTGCCTCTCCACGCCGACATCGACACCAGGAAAGCGTGCGGAGTGGGGCCTGGGATGTCATTCGCGAACTCCGTCAAGGATCGGTCGTGCGGCGGCGGCGGGGCCGGGGAGGCGATCGGATTGGTGCCGTGCGCCGTGGGAGGGACGGCGATCAGAGAGTGGGCGCGTGGGGAACAGCTGTACGAAAACATGGTGAGACGAGCCAAGGAGAGCGTGAGATCCGGTGCGGAGATCAAGTGCTTGCTGTGGTACCAAGGAGAGAGCGACACGTCGACGCACCACGAGGCCGACGCGTACCAGCGGAACATGGAGAAGCTGATTCAGAACGTTCGAGAGGATTTGGGTCTACCGAATCTCCCAGTAATTCAGGTAATTAGCTTGCTAATCCTAATTTTGAACGAATTCGAAGCCTGTCCTCTAAATAAAATGTGTTTGATGTTTGTAAAATCGTACTGTATCGGTAGTTCGGACTACTGAAATCGTTAATCGTGATCAAGTTGAATCCTTGGCCTTACTGTTTCAATGTTTCGTGTTCAAGTTGCTACGGATTTATCACGATTGTTTCGCGGTTATCCCAATTCACATTTTGGAACCCTTGTGTCCTGTGTTAGATTTCATAGAATTGGTGGAATGTGTGTAGGTGGCGCTGGCATCAGGGGACCATAAGTACTTGGAGAAGGTGAGGGAAGCACAGCTGTGTATGAAGATGACGAACTTGGTGTGCGTGGATGCGAAGGGATTGAAGCTCAAGGAAGACAATCTCCATCTCTGTACTGAAGCTCAGGTTAAGCTAGGACAAATGTTGGCTGATGCTTACCTCAGTAACTTTGCATCTCCTAATTCGTTAGCATCATCTTCTTCTTCTTGATCTCATCTGGTATGGTATTGTACACTATTCGCACTGCTGCTAATGCTGAGACTTCGGTGAGAATAACTCTGCAGTTCGCCTAATTCTAATCCAATACAAATTCTGAATGCTCGAGTTGCCTACTGCTACTACAACTAGGAAAGGAAATTGCCAACCTTACTACAAATAGAGCATTTAGGTCATCATCATCGACTAATCGCCTCGATCAAGAACATCAACAATGGCGGCTGCGGAACCATCGTCCATGGAATCGTTCCAATCTCCATCCTTGGCGAAGAAAGTAACCATGTTCATTGTGTCTCTAGTAACATTGTGGATCTCATCAAACGCCACCTTACTGCTTCTGAACAAGTTTCTGCCCTCCTCCTTCAATAATAATGACGAATTATCCTCCGGTTTGTCGATGTTCCCAACGATGCGGATCACGGCGCCGGCCTGCCAAATCGCCGCCTACTTCTCCGTTGGGGCGTCCACTCTACACACCGTGAAGTCAACAATGGTCAGCTTCCTCGTGATCGTGGTGCTCCTCGGCGCAGACCCCGGGGTGAATGGTCGGTACCCGGCCGTCGACTGCATCAGTTTGCTGTTCTCAAGTTTAGCCTTTCTCTTTTTCGTGGTGGATCTTCTTCATCATGTTGCGCCGCATCAACGCCGCTTTACTCGTTGGGCTAGTAAAAAAAGTGGGATCAGATCATTCAGTTTAAGAGGTGTAATTGCAAATTGATTAAATTGTTACTGTGATTATTCGCTGAATTTTTATATTTAATTTTTATAGAAGCGGATTATGTTTACTGTGATTATATTATGTGAGATATAGAGCTAGTTTGGTCTTGCTGTAATTTTTTTTTTTGTGTAAAACGAAGTGCAAAAGGGTCCTCCAACCTTTATTCAATAATCAAACGGGTGGTCTGAACCCCAATAATGTCATGGTACAACCAATTAGACAAGCTACTATCGGGAAGAGCAACCAGATGTCTACCGATAGGAAAAAGTGGCCTATACCGGCCAAGTAATCAACAACTATGTTCGCCTCTCTCTATAGACATGAGTGATATGAACCTCACAATGACGTTGTAACCACTGTCGAATCTCCACAATGCTGGTGTAGTGGAGATGCTCTAGCGTCGCCGACTCAATGAGGTGCACTGTTGTCGTCTGCAGAAGAACCTTCTTAGTTCTTGTTTCCCAGGCGATCCGAAGTTCATGCACAATCCCGGCTAGTTCTGCATTTGTGATAGAGCCCCCCCCCCCCCCCCCCCCCACACACACACACCAAGGTTCACTGTAAAAGCTGAGATAAAGCGGGCATCATTCCCACGCAAAACGCCATCGGCCGCAGTACTACCCAAGGTAGGTATCATCGATCCATCAGTATTCAGGCACGTCCACCCTGTTGGTGGTGTAGTCCATCTAATTGCTCTCGATATTCGGAGTACCCCGGCTCCGAAAACAGCAATATCCTTCTCAAGGGCTTGAAAGATTTGATGTCCCAGCTGACCAGCTTTCCCCTGGATTTGTGCATGTGACTTCAATTCTCCCTCGAAACAATAGCTATTCCGGTTCTTCCACAGTAACCAACACATGGTGACGAAAAAGGTGCAGTCTAGGTCTCGGCTCCACCCTGTAGTGTACTAGGTCATCCACCGTTCCAAGCTAGGATCGAAGAAGACTGCATCAGTTTTGTCGTGGAGTACATCATCCCAAGTGGCCTTGGCGAACGGACAATCCCTGATAGGGATGACAATGGGTCGGGTCGGGGACGGATAGTGCATATCCGTTACCCTACCCAAACTAGTTCGGGTTTTACCCATACCCATACCCACATTAGAAACCATGACCATACCCGTTCGGGTTTCGGGTATCCACGGTTATCCATGGGTAATAATTTCTCTTTATAACTTTAACCAATATGTTAACTTTCACACGTATTCTCACATTGCAAAAGAGGAAAAGTACGACAATAATTCACTAGAATGAAGAAAACTAATTAAAACAGCACAATTTCATGAAAATATTATATTTATATGCTAAATATAAAATATGTTAGAGAAAAATAATAATTGTTTACATACAAAATACATATGCATGTGTATAATCGGGCGGGTTCGGGTTGGATAGTGAGAAAACCATGCCCACCCGTTAACCGCAATATTCGGGTTCGGGTTTTATCCGTACCCACAAAAAGTACTTCGGTTCGGGTTTTACCCTACCCGATTAGGTCGGATTCGGGTGGATATCCACGGTTACGGATATTTTTGCCATCCCTAATCCCTGAGCACGTGAAGTGTCGTCTCTGACCCCCCTCCACGTATCTTGCAGCTGCCGTTCGTGGTGAGGTGTCGCCTGCCTCTTTTCGCATTGGTAAGTAGTCTTTCGTGCGCCATTAGCCAGAGAAAGGTTCTCGTTCTTTGAAGAGCTGGGGCTCTCCAAATTGACCGCCAGTTGGGATGTCTTTGCGGGAGGCTGGCATCCTCCTCCCCCAAGAGTTCATATGGTGATTTGAAGTTAAAGCGCCCATCAGCGGCAAAACGCCAGCATCGAACATCCACATCGTTCCTGCCGGGTACCGAGTGGAGTAAGACCTGCGAAGCAATGTCACCTGATAAGAAATGTTCAATATAATCCTGGTTTCACTCACCGTTTAGGAAGAAGTCCTCCACACGCATGCCCATAACTTCCGCATGGACATCCGGGGCATATGTTTCGAGGGGATCACCATCCGTTAGCCACCTATCTCGCCAAAATCGAGCCTCCTTCCCATTCTTTATATTCCAGGCCGAAGTTTCCTGGGTCTTGTGCCATACTCTTAGCACCCACCGCCATGGGTATGAGATCCGGCCAGTCCTCCTAGGAACCAATCCCACCATGGACTCCGTCGTGTACTTGCTCGGCACCACTTTAGCCCAAAGATCATTCGGCTTTGTAAGCAATCTCCATGCAATCTTCACAATGTAAGCTTCATTGGTGCGCGTAGCCGACCAGAGTCCCAAATCACCTTCTTCCTTTGGCTTACAGACTATCTCCCAATCCACCAGGTGAACCTTGCGTCCTCCCTCCAAACTCCCCCATACAAATGCTCTGATCTTCTTGTTGATCAAATCACGAACACTTGCTGGTAGAAACGATGTTTTCATAGTGTACGAGGGGAGTGAAGAGAGGATCGACTGAGCCAGAGTAATCCTAGCTGCAAGGCTCATAGTGGACGTCTTCCACCCCGCCAGGCGAGAGTCAATCCTGTCAACCAGCTCGTTGTATGTCGCCTTGGTCACCGGGTCGTGAATTACTGGAACTCCTAAGTAGCGCCCCAGGTTCGAAGTTTGAGGGATTCTCTATTCAGCACTTAATGCTACTCTCTGCTCTGGTCGAACATTAGGGGAGAAGAAGACCATCGATTTAGACTTGCTGATGCTTTGCCCCGAAGCCTCTCCAAATAGCTCTAACCACTGCATGATAGCTCGCACCTGCCTGCTAGACGCCACTACAAATAGTATGAGGTCATCTGCAAAAAAATAAGTGAGACAGATTTGGCCCTCTGCTGGTCAGCTTTATTGGCTGTCATGGCCTTCTCTCACCGAATCATTGATTAAATGACTTAAATGTTCCATACAAAGCGTAAAAATATAAGGGGATAGCGGACATCCCTGTTTGAGTCACCTCGTGGGACTAAAAGGGTTGGTAAGGCCTCCGTTCCACTGAAACTGCATAGAAGCAGTAGTAATGCAAGCCATCGTAGCCTCAACGAAACTAGCTGGCATGCCCACTGCCTCGAGTGTATCCCGAATAAACTCCCACCGAATGCGATCATAAGCCTTGGCTAAATCAATCTTCAATACTATTCATCCCACCCTTCCCTTCTTTGCCCGCATCGAGTGGACTACCTCCTGGTGGACACATATGTTATCTGTAATATGTCGACCCAGTACAAAGCTCGTCTGTATTTCATGGACAAGGTTCGGCATAAAAGGGAGTTATCTTACAGACGGTTTCTAATTAAGGAAGTAATTATCTTCCTTAATTAAATTGGACTTATTCCCCAAGCAAGAGGGTATATTCCTAGGGGTTCGGCTCCTATAAATAGTCGCCTCCCCAGCCACTCCAAACACACCACAACGAGCATAAACACAATAGAGAGGGTGTTCAGAGAGCTCCAGTTTTCGCACAAAACCGCCGAGCATTCGAGGAGCTGTTTTATCCTGGTGACGACCGGTTGATAGTCTGTCGTGCGCATCGAGGGCAGTGCCGCGAACGTCTTAAAGAGAGCGACCTAGTCCGCGACCAACTCCAGATTCGGTAACCTCGTTCTTGTTGTTATTCCGTTCCTAACATAAAGTTTTCGGTAAAATGGCAACCGCCATTGTAGTCATTTATAAATATTCCAATTTCCTGGAGCATCAATTTTGCCAAAACTGAAGTTCAGACATCCAACATTTTCCAATCGAAGTTTTTTATATGTACATGCATACTCACAAAGACAATAACATAAATATATGTACAAAATGAGAAGCTTGTCATCAAACATAAACAAATCGACACGAATCAATTAGCATCAGACCAGGAGATATCCAGATCGCCCCATTCACTCTCAGGCACTCCCAACGCCTTCCAAACAGCTTTGGATGCGTCGACGATGTTGTTAGGACAAGGAGGCTGGTAATCATGATCGGAATCACACCCCATGGTGGAGTCGCATTCATCAACCACCATGGCCCTAACAGTGTTGCCATTCCCGTGAATGTTGATGAAGTTGAGACACCTGCTTTTCTTGTTGAACCATCCCGTGGAGAGTGCAACGATGGGCTTGTCGTCGGAATGGTACTGATTGTCACACTCCGATGGGCCTCCGCCACTGCCTCCTGCCTCAAAGCTATTCCAAGTTAGAGTCGCCTTCGTGGTGGTGGTGACCGGAGGGGAACATTTGTAAGTGGTGTAATGCTTGCCCTTCTGGCAGCAGTCAGATTCCTCTCCTTGGTTGCATTGCCCCGGTGGTGGAGTTATCCCTGTAATGTGCCCACTTGGCCTGCAGCTCTGGCCTTCCACGTAGGCCGCAGCGAGAACTAGAGCGGTGATGAAGAGAAGGATGGAAGAAGAGGTTTGGCTGGCCATCTTCATCATTGCTTGTGTTTTAGACTCTGTATTAGGTTAGTTGTGATTGTTGTTGTTGGACTTGGCTGTGAGAAAAGTGGATTGGGGGTGCAGGGCAATTTTTATAGGCTGGAGCTGCAGTTTGCAGTAGGAAATGTAATTGTGGACTTTGTGGTGAAAGCAACTGAAGTAGCGTGAACTGCACGAGGTAACAGAGAATAAAAAGATTACTAATCCGTCAGCTTCTGAACCCCTTTTGATGTTGAAAGCTTCTCCTTTGCTTCTGAATGGATTGGCGTTTGTCCAAAGCTTCTTCTACCAGGTTTAGGATAGCCAACCTGCACAGACAAGCTTTCGGAAGATCCACAAATACTGCTGATGCGGCTGTCACATACTTTTTCATTTATACGGCCCATCCTAGCTTTCAATTACAAGCAACGGGTTTTGATAGGCGTTCGTCATTGTAGGTAGCAGCTCGTTAGTTGTTACTCTTCTTCTTAGCTGTAACTCACTGTCATTGGCTGTTGCGACAATTACCGATTAATTGAAAAGGATTATACGCAAGAAGCTTGAAATATACCGACATTTACGGGGTTCATACTAGATACTGGATAAGCATTTGTGGTGCCATAAATGAAAATGATAATTTTCCAATAACAGAGGAGACGGGGTGAAACTGTGAAAGTCACGGGAGTAGTGGATTCTGCCATTTTGGTCCATTCCATTAATTCCAATCTGAATAATAATAATAATAATAATTATTATAATAATTATTAATTATTATAATAATAATTATTATTATTATTATTATAATTATTAATTATAATAATAATAATAATAATTATTATTATTATATATATATGGTTCAGGCTAGCGTACGTCAGTCGTACATTGTACGCTTGTCGAGTTTTATTATTTAGAACACGAATTAACTGGAGTTTGGGACTTGCTACTATATTTATTTATTTATTTTTATTTATTATTTTTTTATTATTAAAAGAACAAGTAAAGATGGTACTATTACTTAAAGTCACATCACACAAGTGATTCTTTTGTAATTAGCCAAATATTTGAGGGGTTTAAGTTCCAAAGAGATTCTAATTAATTAGCTTATAACAATTGAGCCCAAGTTTGTTAATTACTATTTCATAGTCGCATCAACTATGATTGTTTTATTGTTAAACATTTTATTAATTAATCAAATATTTTAAATATTTCCTCTTATGATGATTGAACCCAAATTCATGTGTGTTTAGACTAATTCAATCCGATATTGTGTTGCCGAATTTTAGGCCAGGAACAAATTTTACCCATTTTTGTAATTAAAGAACTCGATAATTAATCAAATGTTTTAAATTTTTTCTCTTACGACAATTAAACGCAAATGCATGTGTGTTCAAGCTAATTCGACCCAGTATCAATGTTGTCGAATTTTAGGCAGGGAACGAATATTACCCGTTTTTATAATTATCGTACAGGGTCATTAATCAAATGTTTAAAATATTCCCTCTTATAACAATTGAACCCAAATTCATGCGTGTTCAAGATAATCCAACCCGGTATCGGTGCTGCCGAATTTCAGGCTAGGAACAAATTTTACCCGCTTTTGTAATTGACGATTTGGGTTGGGTGTGGATTTTGTTAAGAACTCGCCCTACTTTATCGAGTTGAATCCAGTGTTGACAAATTTTGGGTCGAGGACGGGTTTTTCCCTTGACACTTTGGGGTCGTGAATGTATTTTATCCCCTATTGTAATCACGGAATTGGATCGAGAACACATTTTACCCGCCTTTTCCAACCCTGTATCGGTGTTGCCGAATTTTAGGCCGAGAACGAATTTTACTTGCTTTTGTAATTAAAAAATTGGGTAGGGTGTGGATTTGTTAAAAACTCGCCCCACTTTATCGAGTTGAATCCAATGTTGATGAATTTCAAGTCCAGGACGGGTTTCACCCTGACACTTTTTGGGGCGTGAATGAATTTTATCCACTTTTGTTATCAATGAATTGGGTCATTTATCAAATGTTTTAAATATTTCCTTTTATGAAAAATGAACCAAAATTTATGTGCGTTCAAGCTAATTCAACCCGGTATAAGGTGTTGTCGAATTTTAGGTCGGGAACGAATTTTACCCATTTTTGTAATAACTGAACTGGGTCATTAATCAAATGTTTAAAATATTTCCTCTTATAAAAATTGAACGCAAATTCATGTGTGTTCAAGATAATCCAACCTGCTATCGGTGTTGCCAAATTTTAGGTCGAGAACAAATTTTACCCACTTTTGTAATTGACGAATTGGGTATGGTGTGGATTTTGTTAAAAACTCGCCTGCTTTATCAAGTTGAATCCAGTGTTGACGAATTTTGGGCCGAGGACGAGTTTTACCCATGACAGTTTGGGTGACACTTTGGGGCCATGAATGTATTTTATCCCCTTTTATCATCACAAAATTGGGTCGAGAACGCATTTTACCCACTTTTCCGACCCTCTATCGGTGTTGTCGAATTGTAGGTCGGAAAAAAATTTACACGCTTGTTAATTAACGAATTGGGAAGGGTGTGGATTTTGTTAAAAGCTCGCCCCGCTTTATCAAGTTGAATCCAATGTTGATGAATTTTGGGTCGAAGACGGGTTTACCCTATACACTTTTGGGGATGTGAATGAATTATATCCACTTTTATAATCATTGAATTGAATCGAGAACGCATTTTACCTGCTTTTTCAATCTAATTCAACCTGGTCAAAGGGAGTTGAACCCGTGTTGATAATTTTTCGATAGGGGATGAATTTTTTACCTCCTTTTGTAATTTGACCCGGTATTGGTGTTGCCAAATTTTAGACCTGGTATCTGTGTTTTGACTGTACAGTCCTGCTACTCTTAACTTGGTTTGACATAAAAAAATTCTCCTTGCTTACCTCTACTGTTTTGTGTGTACAAGTGTTCATTGTACTGCGATTCTGATGTTGTTGGCTGCTATTGTGTTCCCTTATGTAGTTATTCTATTTGTGTTGGTGATTTGATTCATAATTCTTCTCTTCCTAGCTTCTTTTGTGTTTCAGCTACCTCTGTTGCACTTTTTCGTACTTCTGCACTTTTAATACTACTACTGTTGTGGGTGGTGTGGTGTACACTCTACATCTGATTCTGTACAACTATGCCGAATGGGTCAAGCAATTTTTTTAGATACCTTACGTGCCTCTAATGCTGAGATGATTTTCTCTTAACTTTCTCTCGAATATGTTAAATCACTTTATTTGCATTGTTTAAGAGCATGTTGGAGTGAATCAGATGTGGTGCTACTCCCTCTAATATTTAGCGGATCTTGTCCTGAACAATAACAGGTGCACTAAACTTTGCTTATAATTTAGCAGATCCTCTAGAGTGTTCACGTTTTCTCAAATCGCATTTCATGGTAACTAATTATCCCGTCGTGAAGCGCGGACTTCCATTCTACTATTGTTTAATGGGAGATCCAAATTTGGGACTCCAGCGAGATGACCACGTCGGGAAAAGAGAAAAACAGATCACGGCAGCAAGCCGGTGGAGATAGGTGTTCAGGCAAGTCAAGTGAAGAGCGTATGGTTAACTTCTGAGAAAACAATAGCAAATGTTTCAACAAATCCAAATAATCTGATGCTCAAGATTGATCAAGTTTGGCAGATCGAATTCTCAGGGATTTTGTTTCCCATTATCATTTTTATGTCACAGACGAAAGGGAGTTGACTGCTAAATGGAACTCACAACTTGTTTTTTTAACCCAGATCTGAAACCTGACACTTCTCCACGACCGTGAGCTTGGAGAGTAAAGCTAGGGCCTAGGAGATGAGTCTCCAAGCCCAGCATCTCGCTAGAGCATCTCCGCTGCCTTCATCAGATTTTGGATTTGCAACTCGATGATTGGCTACAGGCCAGCAATACCACACCGGGAGTTGTCTCCACCGTGTAAATGTAATGCGGAACCTGATTCTTGTATTATTGAGAGTACATATTTATACAGCAATGAGATGTAACAATGCTCGGCTATTTCTAAGGGTTATGGGTGAAACCACTTGCTAAGAATATGGAACAGAAAGATAACAAAATGAATCTGAAGATTTTTATTTGTTTCTTTTGTCAAGGCGGCGATAGTCGATGGTAAGGTCGTGCAAGACGCAGCCGCCCAGAAAGCATGGCCGCCCTGCGAAAGAAAGGGAAAGCATGACACGGTGCAGACTTCGTCGGGGAGGACTGAGGTGGTTGATCAATGAAGACTCCATAAAGCTAGGACTATGAATTCTTGGGATATGATGGGTTTCTAACCATCTATCCCGTTAGCACCGTACTAACCCGCATAATCGACTTCCTTTTTTAAGTTTGGCCGATTAAGAGTGTTTTATTGTCCGAGGCATTTTGGTAAGTTGGGTATATTAGAGGATCATGATATCATGCCGAGATCTCAGTCTGGTGGAACGTGTGTGGTTTTTGTGCTGGGAGATATCCCAACAGTTAAGAATGAGTCTACTTATACATGCAAAAACAAACACGACACATATTATTAGCGTACCACTTCTACCAATGCAAAACACTATACACATGCAAAAACAATTATGCCCCAAGTTATTAATGTACCACTTTCACTAGGGGTGGGCATTCGGTCGGTTCGGTTTCGACCGAACCAAAATTATGAATACCGGGTCCCCGAATTCTCCCAAACCTCAAACCGAATTCGAACCGAATTATAATTCGGTTCGGTTTTCCACACAAAACCGAATTTGTGAAACTACTTAGATTTTATCACTTTTAAATTATTTTTCACCCCTAATACAAACAATAAATATCAATTATATGCATCATCAATGATAAAATCAAACTTTTCAACACATATGTCATAAAATATTTCAAATATTTAAGTCTAAAACAACTAAAAACATAAAAATCCACCATTTGGAGCTTGCAATTATAGAATTTCGGTTTTTCGGTCGGAAATTCAGTTCGGTTGAAAGAACCCTGATTTCCGAACTACCCATATTTTCCTTCCGAATTT